TACCCAAATATTTAGGTTGCAACTTAAATATTTAGCTAGCTACCCAAATATTTAGGTTGCAACTTAAATATTTAGCTCGCAAGTTAAATGTTTAGCTAGCCACCTGAATATTTAACTTCAATTTTTAACTAGCTACCTAAATATTTAAGTTGCAAATTAATGCAGTGCAGCAGGCACGGACAGGTGAAACACTAGTAACCAAGATCCCACTCCCAGGTGAGCTCCAAGCTACTAGCACACCACGTCATCGCCATCCAGCACCACTTACATCCCCCCCACCCCCACCCCCGCCAGTCAGTTACACCGGACCAGATGATCCGGGAGATCCACCTCTACCCCCACCCCTACCCCCGCACCCATTGTTCGAGGATCAAACAGCCCGACCAACTCAGGGTAGACAGGTAGAGTCCAGACAGGAGGGAAGATCAATGTACCTTTGTCCTCCCTCTGACCGTGAACTCAACAAAATCGCAAAAAACGTCAAACCTTTCGAACCAGGTCCAACAGGCTCATATGACACCAGAGCCTACCTAAGGGACATTGATTTCTACCTGTGCAGTTACCCGAATGCTAATATAGAAAACAAACGTTACCTAATCAGACTTACATCAAGCAGAAAGGTAAGCAGTTTTATTGATCACCAACCAGAGGAAGTAAAGAATAACTACAAACTTCTTTGTGACATCTTAGAAAGAGAGTACACTCCTAACAGACCCTAACAGCAAACAGGTTCTGACTGCAAAAGGAGTCATTAACCTGAAACTGATCTGGAACCAATGAGAACTGGTCCATCCGATCCTCGTAGTCCCAAACCTTCCACATTCAGTCTACATAGGTTCTGACATATTGGTGAGACTGGGTGTCCAAGTGAACACCATCAATAATGTACTGTGGTCCCTGACAACAACCCCAAAAGAACTTCCTGTGCAAGGCTGGACAGACCATCCCCAAGTCGCCAACAACCAACAGACCACAGTACCTCCTCAAGCAACAAACATTGTGGTGCGAATCCACATCCTAGCTGGTCAAGCTATTGACCACAAACAGGCTTTCTTTCAACCATCTCCTAGGTTCTTCAACCTAGGACTCTCCCTTGAGGCCACTACACAGGTGAGCCTCGACTCCAGGACTACATCTCTCGCTGTGTGCAACACAAACACAGAAGAGATAGTGATCCCTAAAAACACGCCTCTAGGATGGTTAATCAGCACCAAATTTCATGACTTTGAACTGAGCGTTCCAGTTCTGGGAGAAATTCCTGAGAATTTAATCCCAGATCACCACACTGAGCCGGTCTTGTTCACAAAACCAACACAGGCCATAGCTATCTTCTCAGCCACCGATTTCGACCGTGATACAGTCAGAAGGATCGATCTCGACCAGGAAGACAGGTCAGTACCTCAAACCTACAGCGTCCTACCTGTTAGCAGGCCGGATGACATGGAGGGAGATCTGCTGGAGCTCCCTACAGAACAAGACCCCTCCTCAATTGCTTCACAGATTGAACAGGTGGTCAGCCAAGCCGACGCCCTAACAACTGATGAAGAAAGAGAAAAACTTCGCAAAGTTCTCCTAAAGTATGAGAAGTCATTCTCAACTGACTCACTGGACTGCGGACTGACTTCACTCCACACAGTACGCATCCCAACCCCACCAAATTCTCCGCCAACATATGTCAGACAATACAAAATCCCTTTGGCAGCHCATCAGCCTGTCCAAGAGATCATRGATAACCTTTTGGCAAAAGGTATCATCAGACCGTGCAACAGCACTTACTCTGCGCCTTTATGGCCAGTCTTGAAACCAAACGGGAAGTGGAGACTCACAATAGACTACAGAAAGCTAAACAAACAAGTTCCCTTGTCCAGGTGGCCAATGACCCAGCTCCAACAGAAACTGCCCAAGGTTACCAATGGTAAGTACTTCTCAACAATCGACGTGGCTTCTGGTTTCTGGACGATACCTGTACACGCCGAAGACCAACACAAATTAGCTTTCACCTTTGCTAGCCGTCAGTGCACCTTCACCAGGTGTCCCTTTGGCTATGCTAACTCACCTGCAGAGTTCAACAACTCCAGGTCACCTTATTTAGCTGGATGGGTGAAACCTGAGG